TGATAGAGGGAGAGACCAGATAACGGATTAGTGGCTGCCACAGTTCAAGGAGAGGGTGTGCATGTAGGGAGGGGATTGTGGCCATAAAAGGGCAATAAGGGGGGGTCCTCGGGGTGATGGGAATGTTCTGCGTTTGACTGTATCAGTGTCAATGTCCTGGTTGTGATATTGTACTGTAGTTTTGCAAGATGTTACCATTGGGGATAAAGGGTACAAAGAATGTCTCTGTATCATTTCTTACAACTGCATGCCCATCTGCAATTATTTCAAAATAAATAGTTTAATAAATGAATTGCCAGCATATAAAAATCAGGAAGACCAGCTTTAGGTCTTCAAAAATCAGAGGATAGGGCAGTGCTGGTCTTACACTTCTGCATGGTAACAGTCCTGTGTCTGCACATTTACACCTGGCCGCCTTCCCACATCTGCATTACTGGGCAGAGTCCCCTACATACATCGTGAGTCCTGCATATTGGGTCTCTGTGTAAGATTCTGTTTGACAAAAGGGGCCCACTGCTAATATATCTGAAAACCAATGGTCGAGTCCAAACTTTCCTAATACCAAGAGGAAGGCGAGGCCCAAAGACATCATGTGAATGCCCTGAAGCCACACAGAAACTCAACAGCAGAACCACAGTATAAGTGCCATGCGTCTTCTGCTGCCTGCCTCTCTGAGGTCGGGGAGAAGGGGCGAAGACGGCAGGAGCAGAGGCCCCGCCGCAGGGCTCACACAGCCCCGCCGACAGCACCACGGGCGGCAACAATCGATCGTCCCAGAGAGACGCCCGCAGGACACAGATGCGGCCAGCCTGTCCAGCCAGGCCTGCAGCCTTTGTCATCAGTGCTCACTGCCAGGGCCAGGGACAGTGCTGGAGAGCCGGCAGGTCTAGTGGACCTGCTCTGCTGGGAGCGGTTTGGAAATTCACAGACAGCCAAGAGAGGAACGAGGAGAGAGGGGAGGAGAGAGAGGAGAGCGGGCGAGGGAGAAAGGAAGAGAGGTCGAGGGACAACCACGAGGGCTGCTCAGGTGGCACACGGTGTCCTGGTCTCTCCAGTTGTGGTTTTCAAACTTGTTAGGCTGGTAGAACACCAAGGACTAAAAATCCACGAAACGCAGGTAACTCTGGTATCGACAGCTGCCCACGGCCTCCTCATGGGGGTTCCACGTGGGGGAGGACCGAGCTGGGCTGCACCACGAGGGTTGGCCACAGGAGCTACGACAGAGCTGAGTGTGCCCAGAGAGGGAACAGGACCTGAGGTGCCCAGGGAGGTTGCAGGGGAAGGAGGAAGGAGCCAGTAAGTCTGGGCGCTCTGTCGGGGAGGGGCGGGGTGAAGAGGAAAGAGAACCTTGGATGGCTGCACAATGGGGAAGGGACTTGGGAGGGTTTTTATGGTGTTTGTGGAGGGGTGTGCAAGGCAACCCTCACCTTCAACTTCTCTGTGAACTCGTCACTAAAATCAAATTTGTTCCTTAACACCAGGGACTAAGAGAGACGCAGAGCTCCTTACCTAGGTGAGCGTCAGGTAAACACAGAGACAGCACCTGTAGACAGCTGCTCCACACGGTGGGGCCAGGGGCTGTCTGGGTTACATACTGGGGTTCTCTGGGATGGTTACAGCCAAGCAGTGGGATCCAAATGCCTCAGAGATTCAAGCCCTGCCTCGGATGAAGCTAGCCTGCACCCACTCCCACCCCCATCAGGGCTGCCCAACATGGACCTGACTTCTGAGCCATCAGGCCCTAGAATGCTTCCCTGAAGTCAGAGGGAAGCTGTGGTGACCTCTCAGATTAAAGGCTCAGTTTTTGGATGGACACGCTATTTGTGCTTTGCTACTTCAGGTGGAGGCCAGAGCCATAGTACTACCTGCACCCGTGTGGAAGCTGGCAGGAAGCTAGTGTTTAAGCACGCCTGGACAGTTTGCTAAGGTGCTGGGGTCTTTCCTGGGAGGGGAGCCAAGTCCACGCTTGATGTTTGGGCTGTTCAGGGGCCCACCCTGCCTCACCCGTAGAGGTAGGGTCCTCAAGATTAGGCTCTGCCTTGGGCTGGCCAGCAGGTGGGCACTGGAGCCTCAGAGGGAAGCTATCTGCTACCAGATACCAGAGACAGCATCAGAGCGTAGGGAGCCAGGGCCCAGAGAGAGGAGGGGAGGGGAGGAGAAGGCTGCAAGCGCTCTGGGACTCTGGGTGGGGCAGGCCTTGGAGGTGGAGCAATGACATGTGAGGGGAGAGTCTGCAGGGTCCTCTGACATGCAGACTGACGCCTGCCCTCCAGGCCACCAGTCCACTGCCTGGTACAGAATGCCCAGCACCGCTCACATGGCATTCCCGCCAGCTTTCCCACCACACAGCCACAGGAAGGAGAGAGCACCTTTGCATGTGGACAAGACTGTACAGGCTGTCACCACGCACAGACTGCCCGGCCAGGATTTGGCAAACTCAGGCTCTGCTGGAGTAAGCTACTTGGCAGCGGTGTGCAGTGAAGCCCCCCGGGAGAGGCAGCCTTCCTGAGAGACCCCTGGACTCCTCACTGTGAGTGCTGCTAAACTGGGATGAGAATGAGACAGAGGCCACGGCTGCCCTCAGCCAACAAGACGGGTCAGCAGGGTCTGGGGACAGCAGTTTCTGACTTGGGAGTGGGGATGGATGAAAGTGGGGCTCAGGCCCTGGGGAGCAAGATCCCTGACCAGCCTGGACCCGGGGTGGGGACAAGCGTGCTCCCTGCTGCTCAGATGGCCTCTCGGGTGAGTCGGGGCCCCAGCTGTGACCAGTGGCCACAGTCGCTATTTCAGGCTTTAACTGCAAACAGAATTGAATGGCTGCACTCCCCACCCCTAGGTCCACAGGCTGTGTGGGATTCAGTGAAATGAAAAAGACCACCCTCCTCCTGTGGCCACAAGGAGGATGGGCATTTTGGCGGATGCTATGAAGACAAGCTTCCAGAAATTAAAGTTAGGAAAAGGGAGAGAGCAGGAGGCTCATGCGCTTCCAGTCCTGGGCAGAAGGCTTGCTGGGTGCCCCAGAGCCTTCACCGCAGGGCCAGACACCCCCGAGGGTGGGGGCAGCAGCTTTCTCGGGGTAGGAGCCTGGGACTGGGGGAAGAAGCAGGCTGGTGCCTCTTTTGGGGCCCGCTTTCCAGATTTCCCTACAATGAAACCCTGTGGAAGCTGAGGGAGGGGCTCCAGGACCCGCCACAGAGTTCTCAAGACCCCAAGACACACTGGCCCTTCTGCTGGGGGCTGAGCCAAGCTTGTGCGGGGTTAGGCCCCAAGGGGAATGGTTAACCTCCCCACATATCTGCAGGACCAGGTAGAACAAGACCCAAGAGATGCTTCTAAAAAGGGGGAAGGGGGAGGCCAACGATGAGGCTGGGACTCACCCTTAATACTGCCGTTTGTGTTCTCTTCACTCAATAACTTCACAGAGCCGGCAAATATCCCAGGGGAAATATAGCAATCTACCTGCACCAGTGCCCTTCCACCTTCTACACGGTGTCTGGTTAATGAGGTGCGAGTTTAGAGGGACCGGCCAGAAGAACATAAAGTGATCAGAAGTACTTCAGAGGAGACAGTGGGGGCCAGAGAGGCAGGGGTCGGAGCCTTGTGGGAGAGGAGCAAACGCCCCTGCTGGCTTGTGGATGGAGGGAACCTGGGGACTTTTAGGCTGTTTGCTGTGGGGGGTGTGCTATAACGCCTCTCTATGAAATCTTTGGTAAAGGCTATATAGCTCACTGGAGCATCTATGTGGGTGGCTTCAAAGAGGAGGTGGGATGAACACAGAACCAGCACGCAGGAGCAGTGGAGCATAGGAGAGGGGAGACCTGACAGCTCAGTCAGACGTAAAATAGCTAGATACTAACTTTTGAGCTAAATCACATATCATCTCAGTTCAGGTTCTTTATAAACACATTGCAGGCACTGAAAGGTTAAGAACCATTACTGCAACAGCATGCCATCATTAGCAGGCCTGGGAGGACCACACTTTAGGCTTGGATGTCCCAGCCAAAGAGTGGAAGCAACTTGGATTGGCAAAAATACAGGTTCAAAAATAAAATCCACATCAACTCCAGCTGACCGCAAAGTCCCACTCTCCGCACAGTCCTGTGGCCGCCACATGCTGGTGAGCAAGTACAGAAAGCCCGGCCCAGGGTGGAAGAGGGCCCCTGAGCCCAGCCCCTCACACGGAGGCCGCCACAGGATGTGCTGGCCCAAGGCAGACTCTCCCAGGAAGAACATGCAAACGACACGCTTGCCTCCAGAAGTGTAAGCACAATCACACTGGGCCCCATGCCTCACCATGGAAGGCCCTAGTAGGTTCCGGCGGGTTCTAGGGCAGTGTGACCCCCTCACGCTCAGGGTCATGAGCACCTGACAGATGGCAGGTGGTAGGTTAGTGGCTGTGGCCTCAGGCCTGCACAGATGGAGAGACCATTCCCGGAGAGACCTGGTCCTGCATAAGCCCCTCCTCACGCCCAGGGCTGGTCTTCCCTTGCAGCAGCCTTTGTGCTTTGAGCAATTTACAGAACTAACACCTCAACGTAGGTCTGGACAGGTGAGTCCAGGGGTCAGGCGCCCATACCCAGTGCAGCCCTCTGCGTGCCCGCTTCCCAGTGCCTAGCCTCCAGATGCACAGGGGACAGGCCCTGAGATGAGCGGGCAGGCAAGGCTGCCGGCTCGGTACCCTCACAGGGAGAGATGCCTCATTCTCAACAGCCCAGCGAAGGCCAAAGCAGCCCTGCCCCTGCCCAGGGACAGAGCCAAGAGAGCCCAGAGTCCTCACTCCTGCAGCCTGGGCCTGGGGGATAGAGTCTCAGCTCAGTACCCTTTCACTGACCCAGACAAATGCCCCAGGCCAGCGTCTGCCCGAGCCCTTCAGGGGCCAGGAGTGTCCAAACACATGAACTTGAGAGGGTCCTTCCATGAGTCTTGTGACCCGGGGGCTGCCCTGGGAAGGGATGGGGTTGGGAAGGGCCAGGCCACAGAGCCTGAGTCCAGCCACTTACCTTGACCTTCGCAAAGCTTCTTCGTCAGGGTCTTGCACTGTGGGCAGAAAGTTGCTGGTCAGGAGGAATCACACAACATAAGGAAAAAAAGCCACTGGAGCCCTGTGGTGCTGAGTCCCCACCAATGACTGAACAGTTACTGTCCCTAGCCTGTGTGCTGGGCGGAGGGTGGGGGGAGAGAGGCGACGTGAGAGGGAATGTGCAATTGGGGGAGTGGTCAGAGGTGTGGCCTGAGGGGTCCTCTTATCCCAGCTCTGGCCAGTCAGTTCTCCTGGAAGCACCATGGCCAGCCTGCTGCCCACTGAGGGGGTCGGGGAGCTGAGCAGAAGGCTGATGTCATTTTCTTGCCCCAAGGGGCCCCAAAGGGGCTCAACAGGCTGCTAAGGATCTATCAAGGCCAGCTCATCTTCAAGGGTGGGGGGCTTGACTCCCGGCTTCTGTGGGCCTGACAACTGTGGAGTAGGGCCCAGGACCCTCCCGGCCTCCAGCATCTCCCCTTCCTGCCCATCGCCCAGCCCTCACTTACTGAATTCTGTGCCCGTCATCTGGGCCAGGATGCGGAAGGAGCGGGACTGCAGGTTGGAGGAGCGGCGGGCCCACTCGTCAGCCTCATCCTCCGGCTTGTTCTGGTTCTTGATCACAGCCTGATACACGGGAGAGGCGCTGTCCACAGTGAGGTCTTTAATAGGAAGGCTCCTGCAGGACAGAAAGAGGCCGTGGGCGAGGGCTGGGCTGGAACCCTGCTCCCCACCCCTGCATGCCCCCCACATCGCATCTCCTTGGCACTCCCTGCATCCCCAAGCCCGTTGGTGGCCCCTACTTGTCTGAACCCACCACGCCCTTTATCCCCTGCCATCTGAGAGTCTGGGACGAGGGCTTGGCCTGGCTCCTCAGTGCTCAGAGTGGTCACAGCGGAACAGTGATTCCTCTCACAGAGGGTCAGAGGGCTCAGCTCCCTCCTGCCAACCACCCCTCCACCCACGCTTACTCTAGGCACAGGCCTGAGGACCGCCCCCACCCCAGGGGCTGGGTCTCCTTTAAGGAAAGAGGAGGCAGAAGAGGTCTTCTTGAAGTAATTTTGACCTCCCTGAGCAGGCCCTGAGTTTGGGGCTGGTGAGGACAGGCCATTCGGGGGACCCAGAGGCTTCCTCAGGGTCGATCCCTTGTCTTTCTCACACCTTTGGATCCAAATGGGGGAGCCGCCAATGCTGTGCCTGCCCGGGAAGAGGCCTGGGGGCTCTGGCTCAGCCGTGAACAGGTAGGCTCGGCACCGAGGTGGTGGGAGAAACACGGCACTGCCCACGTGGCCTGGCACTGCCGCAGACGGTGGGGTTTGTGGGCTGGGGGAGCTGAGAGAGCTAGTCCTCTGCGCCAGGGCAGTATAGCCTTTGAGGGGGACCCGGTGACCTTTCTTTAGACTCCCGGGGTCTGGCACATAGTAAGTACTCAAAACTTAGTTGAATGAAGGAATCCTAGATCAGAGCCAGAAGGGACCCCAGAGCCCCTTGGGTCCAGTGCCTCCCAGCCCAGACCAGACTGCAGGGCAGGATATATCAAAAGCTTTATGAGGGCCCACTCCCCCTGGCCAGCGAGGGCTGGAGTATCCAGGCCGCCCAGCCCACCCTCTCAGGAGTCAGAGCGGGCTCGGGCGAAGCTCACAGCAATAACAGCCTGCCTCCCCAGCCTATGGGCCAGCAGCCCACCTGCTCCTCTTACGGATGCTGAAACTGAGATGCAAAGAGGCCAGCCAACTAGCTCAAGGTTACAGCAGTTAGGGGCGCCATTGAGTTAAAACCCAGGCTTCCTGGCTCCCAGCAGTGTCCTTTCCATCAGACCCTCTGTGGTGACAACGGCTCAGAAAGGCCACTTCTGCCCACTGGGGCCTTGCATACTCCAGATACTCCTCACCTGGAGACACGGCCCAGCCCAGACACTCGCCCTGTCCAGCATGCCCCTGCCTGCCGCCATGGCTGCCTCTACCTGCCCCCCAGGGGAAGCTGGCTGGGAGGGGACCTCCCCAGGGCCCATGACTTCTACCCTCTCTGCGAGGAGTTGGATGGAAGAACTGGCCTAGTCTCCCAGGATTGGTAGTTTCTCAGGATCGGTCCCCCGTGTCTGGCTCAGGGTGGGCTATGACAGCAGAGGTGGAGAAAAGTGACAAAAGGTGACCAAGGTTGGGAGGGGCTGCCCCTACTTTCCTGAAGGCTTTGCCCTGGCCCGGAGAGCTACAGGTACTGGCAGCCTACAGTTGTGATCAGATCGGGAAGACGAGCAGATCCCTCTGGGGTCCAGGCAGCGAGGAACCTGGGGCTGCCCAGGGAGCAGAGGAGAGGATCTCACTGGGGAGGCCATTTCTGGCAGAGGGAGGAGTCCCAAGGGTTCCCAAAGAAAAGGCTAGGTCTTTGGGTAAGACGGGCAGTAGGAAGGAACCACCAGGACTCCCTGGTCTGCTAGGAGGAGAGGAGAGGAAGTGTGGATTGTGCCCTGGGAGACAGAAGGTGTGGCTCCACGCCTAGGCCCTGCCCTTGAGCCTGTCTGAATGGAGCACTGTGTTCCAGAAAGGAGATGGAACGCGTTTGCTGCCATTTTCCCGGCATGGGCCCTTGAGGTGTTCCCCTGTTCCTTCCACTGCTCCAAGGGTTCAAGAAAGCTGCCAGGAGAGAGACCCTTGGGATTCCCATTGTTGGCTTCATTTCCCACTGTACAAGGAATGGTGTTGCTGCCAGGACAGAGACTGGGAGTCAGATAAAGGAACTGCTGTGCCATTTGAGTCTCTGGGGCTCAGGGAGAATGCATAGAGAGAGAGGACAGAACAAGCCCTGCAGTCCTGGGACTCTGGGGCCGAGGCCACTCTCTGGAGCTGCTCCCAGCAGAGTCTTCTTGCCACCAAAAACACTCCACGGTCACTATAACGTCAAGGTCACCTCTGGGCATTTACTCTACTGTACACTGCCCCCAAACCTGACTCATCTTTCACCTCTCATGGGTGGTCCTGGCAAGTGCTGGCTGCTCCAGATCCATCTTCCATGAGGATTCTGGGGAGTGGCCTCTAAGAGGCCCCATTGTCACCCTCTCCCCTGAAAAATGGCCCAGCGTGGATTTTGACATTCAGGGCTATGTTGTCCCAGTGCAGACAGGAAAGGCCGGGGGAGCCCCCACAAAACATGGCAAGAAGAACACAGATACACCCTCAGCCTTGGGGGGCAGCGTGGGTGTTGGTACTCTCATTTCTGTATCCATAGTGACATTATTTGGGGCAAACCTCCAAAGACAAGTACTTGCCTGTGTAGGCTGCAGGGCATGTCATTTGGCTGTGAGGTGGGTGTGAGGAAGAATGTGGACAGAGCCACTGTCCTCAGACACAATCCCACCAAACCCACACATCCCGCAACCAGACAGACGGACGACGGAACAGACACTGTGGGGTCTACTTACGCCAGCGGCGATGCCCTGCCAAGCAGAGGAAAGCCCAGCAGTGAGTGCGGGTCCATCAAGGGATGGCAGAGGGGCGGCGCACACACAAGGGAGCAGGGTTAGGATCAGAAACGAGTTATGGGAGTGGGGCACAGAAAGGAGGAAGAGAGACAAAAAGAAAACTGTCAGTGAGGAAGGAATCATGGAAATTAACAGCAGCACGGAGCACCGAATGGCAGAGAGGGGAAGCTCTTACCACAGGCACCACGGCGGCATCAGCCCAGCAGGACTGGCTTAGAAGGGAGGGGAAAGGATGTTGCTTCCCAGACACGCAAGGGAAGGCAAAGGGCGGGGAGAGGGGGGGACAGGAGGGAGATGAGGTAGGTCTTTCGAGAAGCCTAGATTAGATCAACGGTGCATCATGTTAAAAAAATCATGAGTGCCCTAGTGGTAAAACCAAATGAGAGCAGTCTTTTCCCAAGGTGCAGAAAATATAAAGTTAGTGAAGAGCAGTTCTTCCATTATCTTCCACTGAACTTCCCTTTGGCGACGGTTACCACTTCTAAGAGCACACCAAGGACACGTGGCAAACAAATGTTAACAGGAAATCTCGGTTAGCCCTCTGGCTTAGTCAGGCAGCCTTGTTTTTCTGGGTACACATGAGCTAATGGTTGTGTTTTTAAACTTGCATGGTCATATTTTCTGCTTCGAACGATGGGATTAAGTAAATCAACACTGCCTAAAATTCTGCAAAGAGCTGCCCCCCTGAGTCCTGCCAGTTTGAGACTCACGGCTCCAGGGCGAGCAACCTTCGCCCCCTGGTGGCCCAAAGGCAATACTGTGTGCCTGAGAGGGCGGGGCTCCCTAGGAGAGCCAAGAAGTCTTCACACAACGTTCCATCCTTTGGCCTCTGGAGCCTGCGCGGTATAACCTGCCCACGTATCATGGCTACAAGGGCTGGGTTCTGGAAAGGCCAAACACTATAGGAGTTCTCTAGGACCTTTTTTTTTTTTTTTTTTTTTGGTGAGGAAGATCAGCCCTGAGCTAACATCAGTGCTAATCCTCCTCTTTTTGCTGAGGAAGACCGGCTCTGAGCTAACATCTATTGCCAATCCTCCTCCTTTTTTTTTTTCCCCCAAAGCCCCCCAGTAGATAGTTGTATGTTACAGCTGCACATCCTTCTAGTTGCTGTATGTGGGATGCGGCCTCAGCGTGGCCAGAGAAGCGATGCGTCGGTGCGCACCCGGGATCTGAACCCCCGGCTGCCAGTAGCGGAGCACACGCACTTAACTGCTAAGCCACGGGGCGGGCCCCTCTCTAGGACTTTTTAACCCCTCTATCCCTCTTACAACATCTGTTTTTCGTAGCTCCAAGTACAACCACCATTTTAAGATTTCTCGCCTTAGGTTGCTGGGGATCCTGACTCAGGGATAAGATGTTGCCCAAAGAGATCACCAGTCAGTTCTGAAATTCAACACTAATGGTATTCCGAGCAGAAAACAGTAAGAAACTGTGAGTGTGTGTGAGAGGGTCAGAGTGTGTGTATGAAAGGAAGAGAGAGACCAGAGACAGAGAGACGGAGACAGAGAAGAAGACAGAGAGAGAGAGAGGCACACACAGAAAGAGAGAAATACAGAGAGAGAAAGAGAGACTGAAGGAGGGAGAGAGGTCCCCACTAGTGTTTGTATTATTAGCAGTTTCATCCACAGTGATTTTCAGCCCACTCTTTCCCTACTCAGCCCTCGTGTTCCTCAACCATCCCTGACAGGCCAAGACCAGGAACCAAGGATGTCCTCAGTCCACCACCCTGAGGCCAGGCTTTCCTGGGGCAAACAGGGAGGTGGCCGCCCAGTCCTGGGGGCTCCCCAGGCTCTGCAGTGGGGCTGACCACCAACAGCACCGCGGAGGGTTGCTCCAGAGGCCCCTTCCCAAACAAGAAACCCAGGCACGTATTGGAATTGCTCTTATCATCGGAAGAATGCAACAACTTCCCCCCAAATAATAGCTTAGTTGTGAGAAGACTGGGGTATCCAGAATGTGACCCTGGTTAACAGGATTCCAGAAGTCTCCTTCTAAACCAGCCCCATCATGGAGCCTGGGAAAATGCAGAGGCCGTCAAAAGCACTTGGAGGAACCACCGTATTCTGTATTTCTCCACCCTTCTCCTAAAGCTGACGGTGAGATTGACTCTGAAGAGAGAACATCACGTTCTGGAAGGCCTGGGCAAAGGCTGGCTCCCCTCTAAGGGCTGTGCCCGGGGAGACCTGATGCCAGGAAGGAAAGCTGGTCCTGATGGCTAAAGTCTCCGATGGCGCCCAGCGGCCAGGCGGCCTCGGCCCGCGGGTGACGAGGCCCGGCCAGCTGCGGTGGCGGTCACGGCGGCGGAGGGGAGGCGCTTACCCGCTGAAGTCACTGCCCTGGGCCTGGGCCTGCCCGGCGATGGCGTCCATGATGGCGTCCTGGGAGTACATGCTGATGGGCGTGTTGTACTGCGCGTGGATGATGGTGGCCTTGCCGCCCAGCCCCTTCACCTCGATGGGCTTGTGGGTGGATAGGGCCGAGTCCTTGAGGGCGCTGGGGTTGAAGCGTTCCTGGTAGTCAGCGCTGGGGGAGGGGGGCGGGCAGGGGGGAGGTGGCAGGGAGGACGGAGAGGGAGGTGGGAGGAGAAAAGGGTAACAGGTGGTGTTACAGGGCAGTCAAGGCCAGGGTTGGTGGTGGAGGGTGTCGAGAGAGAGCTCCCACAGTCTGATCCCAGGCAGGCTCCCCAGGTCCCCGACTGTGGGCGGCCGGGTGTGGTCAGGAAATTCTGGGCACCCTCCCCAAGCCCTTTGCAGAGGGTTTTCTGGCCCATCTCAGCTTCCCAGATCCCTGGAGGCCCGCTCAGCTGAGCCACCTCCCAGGGTCGGCAGGGGGCGCCAGGCATTGAAAGCTCTCATCACACCGCGGGCAGCAGAGACAAAAAGGGTTGGGGAGTGGGGTTGGGGGTAGGGGACAGGAGCTGGGCCAGCGTGAGAGGCAGCAGCAGCCCAAGCAGAGACCGGAAGGCCCCAAAGGCGGAAAGCAGCCCCACTGGGCAGCCGTAAGGATTCTGAGCTTGGTTCCTCCACGCAGGGGCTCATCCTGCTGGCCACCCCCTTGGTGGCCTGGGGCTCTGCTCCTCCAGACACTTCAGTGCGTGTGCTTCTTCCTCTGGGCAGGGCTCAGGCTGCTCAAGCCTCCTCAAGTCCAACTTGCTGTGTGGCAGCCAGTCTCTACCCATCAGGGCTGTTCCCTCCAGTAGGTAGGTGCACTCCCCGGTGAAGACAAGGTCCGGCGCAGCCCTTGTGAGCATCCCGCCACGTCAGAAATGTCTTCGGGCTCATACAGAGCCCAGTGTCAGCATGGCACTCCACCCCCGGCCCCCAGAGCCAGCCTGCCGGTCTTAAGCAGCTGCAGCAGGATATTGGGAACAGAGCAGCTGGGGGCATCAGACAGAGCCCCAGGACCCCTCCCCAACGCCTCCACTCCATACTCGCAGCTTCACACACATGCAGGCTCACTCAGGGACACCAATGCACCACCACTCACGCATGCACACACATGTACACATGCTGACACAGACACACGCTGTCCAGACCGATGGACACATGGACGCATGCTGGGATGTGCACGCAAGGACACACCCATGCTTTCTTTGATACTAACTTGGCTGGAGAGTTGGCTACCACCTGGGGAGGAGAGAAAGAGCAAAGAAGACAGGGCTATCAGAGTGAGGCTCCTGCTAAAGGTTTGAGCGTGGGGACCATCCTCAGACTGGCCATTGTGGAGGCAGAGCTGGTCTGGACCGGCACTGGGTGAGGAGAGTGTGGAGTGAGGAGGGGAAGAGCTCAGAGTCGGATCACGGCCTCTTGGTTTGGGTCAGAGATGCCGACAGCAGCGTTTCTTCCTTGGTAGGTCCACAGTACCCAAAACTTTGCCAGGAAGAAGAGTTTTCTTGTTCCTCTTCGTGGGCGCTTATGTACCATGTACGTGAATCCCCCACATACGACCTGGCTGTAGACCCCGGGAGAGGAAGCTGGAGATGGAGACAGGTCCAGCTGTGGCTGCTACGAGAAGGCAGTGCCTCCTGGCCAGACAGCGGCTCTGACTAACCCTCGTTTAATGGGACCCCACCTCTCACTCTTATCTAAGATCCAGCCTCCTGGAGCATCGTCTCCTTGGGGGAGGCATTGCCTGCCTTATGTTTCTTTAAATGCAAATTCTTTGCAGCGGCAGACCCTGGCAGCACCAATGGCCCTGTCAGAAACCCGAGGAGAAAGAATGCAGAAGGCGGTGTCCCTGCCCCCAAACTCTGCCACCTTCCCAGATCTGACCACTGTGGGCTCTGGCTGGGGGAGCCTGGTCATCCCTTGGCCAGGACCCTGGGGAGCCAGGCCAAAGCCAGGGGGCCACCAGCCCCAGGCAGCCTCTGCTCAGCCCCAGGCCCCTGTGTCAGAGCTGATAAAATTCTCTCTGTCCTCCCAGGCTTGAAATAGCTCCAAGTGGAGCTATATTAGGAAAGGGCTAGCACAGATCTTCCGTTCCTTCTCCATGTTTGGCCAGTGCTGACAGCTGCATGGTCAGCTTTGCCCTGACCAGCTGTGCCCCCTGCAGAGGGCAGTGTTGGCCTCTGCCCTTCCCTGCCAGGGGAAGCCAGGTCCCTCTTTGTTATTGATTCCTGCCCCCTGCTTAGCTTTCACCTGAGGACCTGGAGGCTGGTATGCCTGCAGCAGACACAGCTCAGAGAGGAGCCAGCACCCCGGTCTTGAGGAGGATGACCCAAAGATGTAAGACCTGCCCAGGGGCTTTGCACCTAGTGGCCTGAAGGACAGTGCCCTTCAGAGCCAGCCCAAGAGAGGACGAGGAGAATGGGGCTGCAGGGATGCTCAGGCCTGGCTGCCCTCGCCCTCCATTGGCTCCTCTGCACTCCTCCTGCAAGGATACAAGCTGCCCAGAGAGCGAGTAGGGGAAGGAGCTTCCTTTTGGAGCCAGGTGGGACAGAGTTCAAATCCTGACCCAGCCTCTTCCTAGCGCTGTGACTGTCTCAGCCTCAGTCCCTTCAATTGTCAAATCAAGATGGCGTTGCCCACTGCACAGACAGGGTGTGCAGACTAAACAGAACGGACGCACAGAGGGATTAGCAGTTGCCCTGTTGCCCGTGAGCAGCTAGACGCTTACTGAAGGTGGTGGCCTCGGCCTGTCAGAGGCTGCCCCCTGCCCATACTGCAGGGGACTGCAGCATCAGCCTTCACTCGAGATGAAGCAACCACTGCGCTCTCTCCCATAGCCCATCTCCCGGAGGAAACTGCTGGACCCTGCTGCAGTGTCGGGTAATAATTTAACATTTGTCAGGTTTTGAGAAGCCCCTGTGCCAGTGGAGGGCACCACGGGAGTCATGGGAAGCAGCGGAGGTCTGGCCCCTGACTTCCCCAGGCAGGTAGGTCGGTCCCTGTCTCCATGCAGAGAGGAGTCAGGCCAACCCAGATGCCAGTCGTGTCTGCCACTCATTAGTTGTGTGACCTTGGGCAAATTACCCACTCTCTCTGGACTTTTATTTCCCAGCTGCAAAGTGGGGGAAATGATGCCCACCTCTGAAGTTGCTGAGAGAGTTGTGTTAGATAAAGTGTGTGGACTATTAGCCAACCTAGACTGAGGGCTCCATAAAGGGAGACAGGACCATCATTGCAGGTGGGCCTCAGGGAGGTCCTAGTCCACCAGAGGCTGACCTCTCTGCCAGGGGCCAGTCCCAGAGAGGACCAGGAAGAGCTACCAGCCCATCCAAGGCAGGAGAAGAAGACCATTTCTTCTCTGCCATTCCCTGAGTTTTCTGGCAGAAGCTCCTTGCTGGAAAAAGCCCGGGGGTATATGGCTCTGCCACTTTGGTCCAGGGAAGCCGGGGTCCAGGTGCTCAGACTGTGGAGTGCCTGAAGTCAGCTTCACTCAGGATCCCAGAAGGAGCTGGGGGATCTGAGGAAGCTGGGGATCCCCAGGGGAGCAGTGAGCTGGCAGGCACGGTACCTCCTGCAGCAAGGGCAAAGGAAGGACATGAGTGTGAGTCAGGCTGACCCGGTTTGCCATTCTGACTCCGTGGTGTGCCAGCTGTGTGACTCCAGGCAATGCTGACGGTAGCATGTATTGAGTGTGCCAGAACAGAGCTCAGGACGGCGCACGTGCTGTCTCATTCAATCCTCCCAGAAATCCTGAGACGTGGACAGTCTCATGGCCATGGGAAGAGGACGAGCCCAGAACCCCTAACCACTGGGCGATATTGCCTTGCCTCACTCAGCCTGCTCTGATCTAGCACACAGAGATAATACACCTATTGCATGGTACATGGTAGAAGTTACAATGAGATAATAAGTGTGAAGGACTTGGAAGCTAATACATGCCCTGCTTAGGGGCTCCCTCTCCTCAGCCCCTCCGCGATGCCCATCCCAGCTCCTGGTTCTTTTAACTCCTGTGCTCGCAGTCCCACTAGCTAGATTGGGGGTGGGGGGTAGGGGGAGGGCTGCTGTTCTCCTGCACAGTCCCTTTCTCCTCGAGGTCCTGCTTTCTTGCTGCCCAATCCTAGCCAAGGTCAGTCCTGCAAGCCCACTCCCCTCACACCATTGCCGAGTCTCTCTGCACCCCGCTCAGGTGCTTCCTCCTCCAGGCAGCCTACCCAGACCGCTACCAGCCCTAGAGAGCTTGCCCTCCCACCTCTCTAATTCATCCCTGCTTCTGCCTCACGGCTCCCAGAAGGGTAAGGACAGCCTCTCCCCTGCCCCAAAGCTCCTGGAGGTAGCAGGCTTTGTCCTGTCCTGGGGGGTGGCCTGGTGGGATTGTTTTGGGAGTCAGAGTCTCTTGCATTCAGGCCTGGCTTGGCACTTAGTAGCTGGCCAGCTAGACCTCAAATTAACCTTCTCTGAGCCTCAGTTTCCTCCTCTGCAAAATCCGACATGTCACCTCAGGGTTGTATAAAGCAATGATGTGCCCAGCTCATGGCAAATGTCAATAGGGTCATTGCTTTCATTGCCCTCAGCCTGCTCTGCCTCCTGGGCTTGAGGCCGGCCAGATTGAGGCCAGCTTCTCACTCTGACCACCTGACCAGGCCTCTACCAAGCACTGAGGACCTAGGTGGCCCCAGACCACCAGTGGAAGCTGTGGGCCCGTTACCTACCCTCCTGGGAGTGCAGCACCTGTGGCCTTCCCTCGGAGGCTCATCTGATACATCTGAGCCATCTCCCTCAGGGTCTGTGCCGAGTACAGCCCGATGGGGTTGTTATACTGCCTTGGCTGGCTCGAGCCCAGCGGCACTTTCGGGCTGAGTGAATCCAGGGCTCCCTCCGGGCTGGTCTTGGCCCCCGGGCTGCCCCGCGGAGGGCCGAGGTCAGAGGCCTCCGTGTGTGAGGAGAAGACGGAGGTCTGGGAGAAGGAGGAGCTAAAGGTCTGCCTGAGCTCCGGGGTGCCTGGGGTGCCAGGGCTGGGCCTTGCCTCGGGGCTGGGGCTGGGCGCTGCCAGGCTGCCGTTCGTGTCCAGAGCAGGGTCCTGGCACAGGGTGGCCGCCATGCAGGGAGAGAGAAGAGAGCAGTTAGAGGCCACACGCATCCCAGCACTTCTGTGTGGACCTGAAACAGAAGGGTTAGTGCGGGCACCCCGCAGCCTTCCACCCTGCAGCCCACAGCTCGCTCACAGAGCTCGGCCCCTGGAACAGAAGAGCCTTGTTGGGAAGAGCGGGGCGGGCACACAGCTCCTGGCCCTGCAGCCGGCATCTGCCTGGACAAAATGGCAAAGCCCCACACAGAAAGCCAAGCCAAGCCAGCCTGCCTGTGGGCTGGAGAAAGGGCTGGAGAAGGGGACTGTGGGGCTCAGGGAGTAGGGGGACCCACCTCCATCCTACATCTGTTCCCCCTTCTCCCGAGCAGGGGCACCTGGTGGGCATGGCCAAGCCTCCTGCTCTACTGACCCACACTGAAATGTCCCCACATGGCTGGTGAGAGGGGACCTGTCTGGCTGGCAGTGCATAGGCAGAGTAGAGGTGCAGGAGGGGAAACTGAGGAAGTAGGCAGCTGACGTTTGGTTCCCTTGCCAAATGTCAAAGTTGCCTCTGCAACTTCTCCCAGGCAGCGCTCTGCCTGCTTCCCCAATCTGTTGCCTGCCCCCAATCTCCTGTCAACCTCTTCCTCTCCACTCTCCCCACCCTGCCCATCGCCCACTCTGCCCCACTGGAGAGACAGGGGTCGGTATGAGGTCATGCAGGGAGGGATGGGAGTGGGCTCCTGCAGGAGTGGTGGAGGCCTTCCCATGCCTTGGGGTCACGGAGTTGAGCTGCTTCGAGGGAGCTAAGAAGGGGCCTGGGGGATGGTGGTGTGGTCTGGGACCAGGGGTCCACCTTCTGCCCGGTGCCTGCCTCTTGGCCACCACCAGCACTTCTGATTGGACTCTGGGGTGTGCTGTTGGGAGGAGAAATTGAAGCCAGAGGGAGAGATCCTATGTCAGAGGAGAAGCCGGGAGAGCCAGCAGGAGCTGGCCTGGGAGCTCCTCCTGGAGTGACTGGCTCAAGCTGGGGCCTCCTACTTTTATGCCACAGTCACCTGCCCTCCCCAGCACCTCAGGAGGATGAGGGTCAGAACCTTCTGGACACTTGTCCCGTCTGGCTGGGAGGGTGATCCCCCTCCTGAGAACATGGCTGCCTAAGCTGGTCTCCCATCAGCCCAGCCACGAGGCCTGGGGTGTGGCCAGCACTCAGGCAGGCATCCCCACACCCAGTATTTCATGGGGGCTCAAGCACCCCTCCCCGAGGGCCTGCCCTACCTCCCCAGGATCAGCCGTGGCAGGGGCAGGTGTGGGGCAGGGCTGACCCCACCACCTCCCCCAGTTGGGCCAGCCAAGGGTCAGGCAGGCAGACCAGGGACCGCACACCGGGAACCACAGCTGAGAATGGAGCCTGCCACCGACAGTCACACCTACCTTCTGGTGGGGGATCACCGGCAGAGGGGACTGGATGGGAGGCGCTGCCGTGGAGATGGGAATGGGACGCTTCGACCTGGAGAAACCAGAAATGGGACCAAGTAAAGACAGTTGCCCCTGGGGCCAGGCGCTCTTGCCTGGGCAAGGGTGGCAAGGGGAGAGCAAGGGAGTGTTGGGTGAGAGGGCCTGAGGCCCACTGTCCACCCCGTGGGCTGGGTGCCCCCAGGAAGGCACTGGGCCTGACCAGGATGGAGAAGTCATGGCCCTTGAGCACTTTGCAGCCATAGGCCTCTGCTTGCCTTGGAAGGCTGCCTGGGTGAAGAGGAAGCAGGGAAGAGCCTGGACTCCAGGCCTGAATGCCCACGTCCTGGCAGCACCGTGACCTACCCTCTCTGAGCCTCATCTGTGGAGTGACACACAGAGGTGGCAGGTGCTTGACAGAGACTTGGACCTGGTCTTTCCTCTGGTCCAGGGGCTGTCCTTACTATCCTGAGAGGTCCTGTAGACAGGGCTGGGCCCACGAGACTACTGCTGGACAGCCCCTCTCTCAGCCCCTGAGGCCCACACCCCGGCCTCCCCCCTGCTCTGGAGAGCCCCCACCTACTTCTGCAGCGTGAGGCTCAGGTTGTAGCTGGCAGACTTGATCTTGTTCTGGGCCTCCAGGTGGGTCATGGTGTCTGTGTTGACGCCGTCAATGGCCACCACGAGGTCACCCTGGCTGAGCTGGGACTGGGCGGCCTTGCTGCCTGGCGTGATCTGAGAGGATGGCAGATGAGGGGGTGAGCATGAGTAGGTGGGGCTGAAAGGGAGCAGTCCTCAGGGAAGAGTCACCTGGACCGTCCGGGAGAGGCCTCCCGGTACCCGCTGCATTCACTATGGCCAGTACCCGCTGCTCACCAAGCCTGGCTCCTTGTGCTGGCACACAGCCACCACAGTTCCTCGTGTTTTGTATCTGAGTGTGGCCATAAGACCAGCTCTGGCTGGTGGAATGTGGGTGGAGACAGTGCACGCCACTTCCAGGCCTGCCCCTAGCAACCGTCCTTGCCATTCTGCACTCTCTCTGCTTGTTGGCTGACTCGATGCAGAGGACGCAGAGGAGGAGAGCCAAGCCACTAACTGGAAGGGACCTGGATTCTGGAGTAACTGCTTCGAGGAGAGGCGACTAAGGAGCACCGCATTGGGTGTTGCATGAGTGAGAAATAAACTTCCGTTGTGCTAAGCCGTTGAGATTTGGGGGCTGTTTCTTACAGCAATTAGCTTACTATAACACCTGCACCCCAAAAAGCCATGGAGCAGGAGGATCCAGGAGGGAGGTGATACACAGGAACTCGGACTCAGCACCACCACGGAGGCACTGCCAGGCCAGCAGGCAGGACAAATGTCCCTTCACAGAGCATCCTAGTGCAAGTGCCCAGTGCTGCAGAGGGCTGCGGGAGCAGACAACCCTGCCTGGGGGAGCAAGGTCAGCTGGGACATGGGCAGGGCTCAGTGCTCTGTAGTTGGCTTCATACTTCCAGGTGTGGGGGCCAGTTCCCAAACCCTGCACCCTAGTGACATCACAGAATGTTAGAGTCCGAGGGCCCCACCCCCAGTGAGAGCACACAGAATGCCATGGATGCTCCACCCTGGGAACATCCCATGCGGTGTCAGGAAAGCCACACTCCAGGGACGTTACTTGGGATGCCATGATGGTTCAGACTCCACTCCCAATGACATCATGCACAATGGTAAATTCTGCATTCCCAGCCCCCAGTATTAGCACGCTGATTGCTGTGGTGACCCCTCCCTGCAGTGATATCACATGGAATGCAAAATCCTGGAGGGCCTAGTGACATTACCTAAAATAGCTTGATGGCTGGCCCCTAGTGACATTACTTGGAATATGATGAAACCCCGCCCCTAAGGATGTCTCATGGAATATCATGGAGACTCTGGCTCCACCCCCCATGACATTGCATGGAATACTATGCAAGCCCCACCCTCTGCTGACATCACACAGAATGACTCGATGACCTGACTCCCATGACATCATGTAGAAGTCCCCCTGTGACATCACGTGGAGTGCCATGGAGGCCTCGCCCCAGTGGCATCATAGGAAAGAGGAGCCCCTGGGAGCCACCTCCCACCAAGCTGTGACTGGAGGGTGTCTCTTGGCTTTTCCTCCTCCACATGCCCACCAGCCAGTCCTCCTGGCTTCTCTGGGCACATCCCAGTCACCTTCCTGGCTACACCCCAGAGATAAGGCCAGCTCCTAATGCTGGCAGAAGCCATCTTCTGGCCAAGGCCTGGGGACCATCCTAGAAGGAGCCCAGAGAGGACCTGGGGACAGTCCCACACCCTGGGTGCCAGGCCTGGGTGGGCCTCTGGCCAGGCCCTGGGCTTCCAGACATGGATGGAAGCCTCCTGCCTGGCCCCTCACAGGGAACTCCCCTCCAAACCAGGGCCCCTACAGTTACCAGGCACCAGCCCATTCCCAGATGGGCTCTACAGGGTGGGCCAGAAACCACACGTGCTAGCCTAGTAATAGCAGCAAGACCGGGGAGCCCTTGCCCGTTGCCCCTGACCCACCATTTCAGCCCCAGGGACTGTGGTACCTTCTTAAACACTGGCTACCTTGTGCCTAGAGCAGTCTCCCCCAGCCCCTGGATCTGCTGAGATGAGGATCTGCTGAGACGAGGATCTGCTGAGACTGTAGAGAAACAAACTCCTAGATTGCCAGGAAGCCACGTCGTCTGTTGGCGAAGCCCAGCCTGCTCTCCAGGTCCCCCTGGAGCATCTTGGAACTACTTGGGCCTTCTCAGAATACATGTCGCCCTTACCCCAAAATTCATGGCCATAGGGAGCCTCTGCTAATGACGGGAATGTGTTGTTTCCTTTGATTTAAGGGGTTGAGCAAAGAATGAAAAACAGCAAAGAAAAACCAAACACTTTCTAGGCTGAGAGGGGACACCTGAGGGCAAGCTGAGCTGCCTGGCAGGCCTGTCCTGCAGAAAATTGCCTTTCCCCACACCTTCTGGCGTCACGTTCAGGCCTGTGCTAGCCCCAACATTTTATTATAGACATCATCAGACATAGAGAAAGCAGAAAGAATTCTACAGTGACCACCCAAATACCCACCACCAAGGTTCCACTGTAGCGTTTCACTCAACTTGCTGTATCACACGTCTGTCCCTCTCTCCGGCCATCCACCCATCTTATCTTTGAAGCATTTCTGAGAAAGTAGCAGATACCAGTATGCTTTCATTCAGGGTGATTTGTGCAATGCCTCTGCTGTCCTAGTGGACTGCCCACAGGGCACCCCCACACCTGGGATCCCCCACACCAGGTTTCCCCCGGACCCTTCTAACAATCCACAGAGAAAGTTCCTCACCCTGCAGCAGGGAGCTCGCTGGTGGGACAGCCGCAGACCCCAGGTGGAAGGGCAAGCCCCGTGCCTGCTGAGGGGATGCCTGCCAGGGGGCACCAGAGCTGTGCCCAGAAGGTCACAGATGACAGTGTGAGCAAGGACACCAGAATAACATCCAAGAGAGGCTGGGGCCAGATCAGCCAGGGCAAGCCGCGGGGCCGCCTGGAAGCCCTCCCTGCGGAGGGCCTTGGGGACATCTTTCTCCCTCAGGCATGGGCTAGCTAACACCAATCCTTCCCGCTGGGTCCCCTGCCTTCCCCTGACCCGGCTCTCCCTCATCCTCAGGTATGGACTGGAGCGATCCTTGTTCCTGGGGAAGAGCTCAGCCTCCCCTGGGCCTGGTCAGTAGCAAACTTCCCGAGGGGAGCCGCCGAGCTGGCTCCTGCCTGCCCCAAGCGCCTCTCTCCCTGCACCTGTGTCTGCCCATCAGGGCTCAGCTGGCCTGGCCTTTCGCTGCCCTGAGCAGGGCCCAAGACCCCTCGGGCTGCGGGAGATGGAGGGTGCTCCTTAGAGAAGGAGGCAGGATGGAGGCAGGGACCCTAAGGAGGTCACCCCCAGCTCAGCCTGAGGGCCACCAGATCCCCTCTCTCCTCCATAGGAGCAGCCTGCCCGGCAGAAGGGTGGGGCCACCCTCGAGCCCTTGCCCAGAGACCAGGGCTGTGAAGAGTGCAGTCCAGGCATGATGTACCCATGTACCTCTTATCTGGCTCTCTACTTCCCTCTCTCTGCTTTCCTTGTCCCAGAAAGGACCCAAAGCTGCCAAATCCTTAGAGGACTTTTCTTTCTTTAAAGTCTTTCCAGGCCCTTTTGAGCATTTGAAAAACTTCGTAATGATTATTTCATTCCCACTTCGCTTTTCAGTCATCTTCAGTCACCAGCCGCCTCTCGAGTGGGACTCACCAGTGGGCAGAGCTCCAGGACTGAGGGCCTGTCTGAGAAGCTCCCTAGGACAGGCTCTAGGTGTTTGGGGCCAAGATTGCCGCCTGGCCCCCAGGAGTCCTTCCTCCTTGCCGGGCTGTGATTTAGGGCACCCCACAGGGGGCACAGGGATAGGTGGTGTCAGGGAGCATCTGTAGCCCCAGAGACACGTGGGTGTCTGGTAGGAGTGGGAGGCAGCAAAGCAAAGAGCATGGACTCTGGTCTGAGCCGGACATGAGGTTGCAGGGCCAGGCTCCATGCCCTCCATGTAAAGACAGCAACAATGCCTTTCTCCCAGGATTGCTGTAAGGATTACGGTATTAAATAGGATATTAGACAACAGGGTGCAGGGCTGGGAAAGCGTCAGGGAAGCTCCGAACTGAGGATGTGCAGGGGCTGCTCCCAACCCCTTCCCCTGGAGGTGACAGAGAGGCCAAGGCTGGGAGGTACATCCCTCAGCTCCACGGGATACAAGATCTGGAGCTGGCAGAGGGTGGGGTGACAGGGGTCAGCCCCAAGTGACCAGTCCTGAGCCAGCCTGCTGTCTGTCCCTAGAGCATCAGCTGGAGGGAAGAGGAGTTCTGTCCAGGGTCCCGGGGAAGCAAGGCGCCGGCTGGAGCCCATGCCCTCGGCTCCTGTTTCCCCAGCTCCCTGGCAGCAGAGGGGCAGCCGGGCTCCAGAAGTTCCCAGCCATCTCTCCCTGTGCTCAAAACCAGACAGGCCGCTGCCTTCCTTCCCCTCTAGATCTGCCAGTGTAGGTGTTGGTGGGATGAGGGGCAAGGGCAGCTAGTAGATGCTGTGAACTGTGCAACTTCCAGCATCTCCTCCCAACCCTCCGAGGCTGACCACCCCGGGGAGATTTCCCGTGGAGCCCTAAGTGCATTTAACATCATGTGATTAAATTACCGTTAGGCCCTGCTCCACTCCTCTCCCGTCTGGCCTCCCTGGGGCCTGGCTCCATTCCTCACCCTCTCACTGGAACATTCTGTCCCCCATGGATCCACTCCTCAACCCCATCCTGGCCAATAAACAAGTCAGAGTCTGGTCTATGCTCAAAAAGCATCTCTTTGCACAGAGGATTTTCAAGGCAGTGAAACTACTGTGTATGATGCTATAGTGGTGGATACATGTCATTACACATTGGTCCAAACCGTAGAATGTACAACATCGAGTGAACTCTAATGTAAACTATGGACTCTGGGTGATAATAAAGTGTCAATGTAGGTTCATCAATTGAAACAAAGTACCTCTCTGGTGTGGGATGTTGATAGTGAAGGAGGCTGTGTGCACATAAGGGCAGGAGGCATTCGGGAAATCTCTGTACCTTCCACTCCATTTTGCTGTGAAGCTAACAATGCTTTAAAAAAAAAAAAAAGTCTAGGGGCCAGCCCGGTGGCGCAAACGGTTAAGTGCGTGCGCTCCGCTGCGGGTTCGCCAGTTCAGATCCCGGGCGCACACCGAGGCAGCGCTTGTCAAGCCATGCTGTGGTGGCATCCCGTATAAAGTGGAGGAAGATGGGCATGGATGTTAGCCCAGGGCCAGTCTTCCACAGCAAAAAGAGGAGGATTGGCAGATGTTAGCTCAGGGCCGAACTTCCTCACACAAAAAAACAAAAATAAAAAAAAATAAAGTCTTAAAAAAAGTCTCTTCCTCTCCTTGCCTTAGCTGCCCCAACCGGCTCCTGTCACACGTCTCTCCCTCTCTTCACCTCCAGGCTTCTCTAAGAAGTGACTGGCAGGTCCTCCCTCTGCAGTCTCCCGTCCCTCTCACACACAGCCATCTGGCTTTGGTCTCCACCACTCCACTCATACCAATGACCTCCCTATGCCCAAAGCTAGGGGTCACCGGTTCCCTTTCTAGCTGACCACACACTTCCCTGGTCTTCTGAGTCTCTCTCTTCTCCTCTTGTCCAGGCCCACAGTTCTGTCTGTGTCCTGGATGTCACCGGTAGAATGCTTCCGTGGACATGTCACTCTTACTGGGCCCCAGAGAGCACTGGGACACAGCAAGGTTGGCTTCGTGTCTCTTAGGATGGTTCCTGGGCAGAGGTGGAATCTGGCTCCAAAGTGGTGGAGAAGCTGCATTTGGGAATGGGAGGGCCCACTGCGGTGCCTTTGCTATCATGGACAGCCCCTGGACGCGAGGGGACCGTGCAGAGAGGGACGGAGGACTTGGGGGAGGGGGAGACATCTCCCTGGCAGGAGGGCTGCCCCAGCAGGGTCCTGTGGCGTCGCTCAGGAAGCCCTGCTCTCCTCACACTTGCTGCTGTCCACGACGCCTTCAGCCCCAGGAGCCCTGGGGGCTGCCCAGGAAGTTGCACTGGTCCTGTGTCCTGGCCCAGGGCCTTAGAGAGTCTGCTCCCCAGGACTGTGCCAGCCTCATGCCCACTCCCTTCAGGGCCCTCAGGGTCAGAGACAGCTCTGAGCACCAGGGAGGGGACGCATATGGAGAGAGGACCTCGCTGGGGACCTCTAAGAACGCATTCCCCAGCGGTGGGCCTCTGTCCCGTTATCTTCCCCACTCATTGATTCGGGGAGGCCCGGCCAGCCTCGCAGAGCCCTCCGGAGGCTCGCCTGACCTTCAGCATGGCTATAAACAGCAGGGCCTGTCAGCACTGCTAGGCGCTGCCCAGGAAACAGCACGACGGCCTCAAAATTCCAGGAATCACCGGCACAGCCACCCCAGAATGGTCTTGGCCTGTCCCCCTCCCCCTCCCTGGGGACCCTCCGTCCTCTGCGTCCCCACCTAGCCAGGAGAGTCTGATAAATACTGGAACCGAACACAGCAAAGGGGCAGAGGCCCCTGGGCTAGTAGGTGAGGCCCTAAGGGACAGAGGCTTTGGAGCGTAGAGACAGGCCCTCCGGGGCCAGGCCCAGCTCCACAACTCCCCCATCCTCACAACCCGCCTCTGTGGAACAGCAGGCCTCAAGTGTTTTCATAAGTGTGTGTTAGAAAGCTCTCTCACCCACGTGCTCTTGGGAAGGCAGTGTCCCCAGTTTACTGATGAGAAAACTGAGGCTGAGCAGGGGAACTGACGTTTCTAAGGTGACACAGGTGTGAGCAGCTGAGTTGAACAGAAGCATAAGCCTCTTCGTGCAGAGGGCTGTGACCTGCACCGGGGGTGGCAAGGCCCAGACGTGGCCCCAGCCCCTGGCCTAGCTGCTCTGAGAAGGTGGGGCTGGCCTTTGGAGCAATCCCCCTGCGGCTGCTCCCACCCCTCCCCCGCTTCCTGGAGGACTGGCTAGGGTTGGGGGAGGGTGGGGTGAGAGGGCAGCTCATGTTGCAGGCCCAGCCGCACCTGTCCAGGATAAATAAAGGCATTTCCCCCCACCCTCCTAGTCTCCCTCTTAAACCCGCTTCTCTGTGGGTCCTCAGGCTGAGACCCACTGAAAGGAGGCCTTGAGGGGCTGCTACTGCCCCAAGGTTGATACTGTGGGGCCAGAGGGAGCCACCACCCAGCCTGCAGGTTGCCAGCTTTTTTACAGGAGATGCTGCAGCAGACAGGGACAGGCCCCACTCAGTGCTTTTCTGCTACTCCCTACCCAGAGGGGTCAGGGGGCAGGCATGGGAATTAGGGGTTACCAAGGACACAGGAGCTCACGAACAAATTCAAGCCTCAGTTTACCCAGCTCTGAAGTGAGATGGTAATTCCAGCCCTGCCTGCTGTGCATGTGCCTCTGGTGCCAGCCCCTGCTGAGAATGAGCAGGCCTTGCCTTTGCTGATCCTCCACTGCAGTATGCCACTACTGCCCTGTTGCAAAGGCTCAGGCCAGGACACTTGAGCATCCCTTGGCCAGCGGTGGGAAGTGGGTCATGGCTGGGGTGGGAGTAGGGTTCCTCCAGAGAGCTCTGGCCCTGCATCCCCTTGAGGGAGAAGTTCCTGGTGCAGAAAGGCCTTGAGAGCCCCAGCAGGAAATACCACAGCCCTGGTGGGATGACAAGGCTGAGTGTCCCAGAGCCTGCCTGGCCAGAAGCACTGAGCCTGGGACACCAAGCCCAGGGTATCAGTGGCCCACCAGAGGAATTTATCCAGAGACTCTAAGCCCTGGGGAGGCCCCAGCATCCAGTCCGTCTTGCTCCATGGCCTTGGTGATTTGGGGGGTGCCCCTGAAGAAAGCTGAGAGGCCATTATGTCCATCCCCCGATGCCCTGCCTAAGCTGTGAGTTCTATTTTTAAAAGTCCCCCCTAGTTACTGACTCCAGTACATCCCAATACACCCCCTCCCCTCAGTGAGGACATTCTTCCTGCTGTCTAGCTTAAGGCCTCTGTGCTGCAATTTAAGCCCTGGGCCAGCTGGGGCCAGGTGGCACATAGACCCTGGGTGAGGTAATTGGCTATCCTGGGTGCCGCTGAGCCAGGAGGCTAATTTCCATCCTCAGGGACGGGACAGGGAGCACCAGCAAGAGGCCTTGAGGATGTAGGGCTGGGGGATCTGGGCTCTGTCCCAGGTGTGGGAGGCCAGTGGACCCACGAGAGTGAGGGTGGATGGTCCCGCCTCATACAGGGAGGAGACCTGCAGACATGGGGGTGGGGAGTGTGCAGGGTCCCGGGGAGGGTGGAGTCCACGGGGCTCAAATGCCCATGTGTCACCATATCATCAGGCAACGTGTGCGAGGCTCTGGCTGTCCTTTTAGTACCGGACCCTGTGGTCTCCACGGTAGTGGGTCTGGAGGGGTGGAGTTAGAATGAGCTCGGTTTAGAATGAGCCAGATCTCCAGCAGAAGGATGGAAGGGAAGGCCTTTTCCCTGGACTGGAAGGCCGGTGCCCCTCCCTGGAGGAATGTGGCCTCTACAGCTATTACGAGGCTTCATGGCACCTCTGAGTGGGGCTTCTCCTTCTTGGGGGCCCCCAAGTGCCCACATCAGGTTCCACAACCAAGCCTTCTCCTCCAGTCGGGGCATTGTCTCCTGCCCCCTCTGCCAAGCAGCTTTCAGGCCTTCCCTGGCTGTCCACCTCAGTGCCACCCTCCCCCCACCTCCTCCCGCCAAGGGCCAAGGCAAGTCTCTGCTGCTCTGGAGAAGAAACAGTCTCTCGGTCCCAGGTGGGCAGCAGCCCAGACACCACTGCCCATCCATCACGCTCCAGTGACAGCCCAGGTCCTCAGCCTTCCCCCTCTGCCCGCACTAGCACTGTGGGGGCTCAGCCTTGGCCTCACCCCACTAGGCAGGGCTTGTCTCTGCCCTCACATACCTCACAGTCCACCCTGAGCCCTGGGGCCTTCAGCCCCAGCTCTGCTGGACTTGCTGGGGAGTCCATTTACTTGACAAATGTCACCTAAGCACCTACTGTGTTCTTGGGACTGGTGTAGGTGATGGGGACACAGCAGTGGTTAAAAAAAGTCCCCTCCTCTCGAGCAGATCTAGCTTTTCACCTCTCTGGGCTTCAGTGTCTCTAGCTGGGCAATAGAGTTACTCAGACAATCTCCAATGTTCTGTGACATCCCCATCAGGTAGTGCTGTGCCCCGACCACAGACACTGTAGGACACACGGGCCATTTCCCCAGGGGAGCATGGGGAACAAGACGTGAGACAGGCAGGCAGAGCAGGGCTGAGTGAGTGTGTAGGTACTTGGGCAGGTGAGGGAGGAAGGCCTAACTCCACGACGCCAGTGCGAGGCCCCTGGCAAGCTCAGGAAGGCGGATGGAGGAGGAGGCTATTATCTCAGGTTTGGGATGGAGCAGGTGCTGGAGCCCAGTAACCATCCCAGCCCAGCCCTGAGACCCGACAGCAGGGCAGCCAACACCAGCAGATCTATCCGCCTGCCTGTCACCTGCCCTCCCCATGCTAGGAGTGCTCTCTCTCCCAAGCAGCTGCCCACTTCCAGGCAGATGCTCCAGGCTTAGGGACACCTTGAGCCCACCCTCCTTGGGAAGGGCTTAGGAAGGCACTGTACTCTCTGTCCACCTGCCTGCCTGCCCTGCAAACTTGGCATTTCCTTCTCTGCTCGAAACACCCACCACTTGGCCAAGTTCCGCACTCATAACAGGCTGGCCAGTTCAGGTGGGCAACAGCAGTGGCCAAGACCAGGGGCCTGTGGCAACATCCAGCTGGGTCCATTCCCACCCCCAGATCTGGGATGGGGCATGCTCTGCTTTCCAAAAGTCTCGGGAAGGACCGACGGACAGATGCACACACACTCCTCTGAGCATGCCCCACCCCGGCGGGTGCCAGGCTGTGGGCAGTGCACACTCACCCGGGAGATAGTGAGCGGCATGTTGAAGTCCTTGCCCCCCTGCAGACGGAAGCCCCAGGGCCCAGGCCCGGTCAGGGTCACACTGTAGGACATGCTGGTGCTGACAGCGGCGGCGTCTGCGGATGAGGGGAGAAGAGTGGAGTGAGAGAGCCCTCACGCGCCCGCCTTGCCAGCCCATATCCCAGCCCCTGCCCCGACCCTCAGCCTTGCCTGCTCCGTCCCCTGCTGCCTGGCCAGGCTGTGTGGAGCTCCTGAGAGGCTCCTAAGAATAGCTGGGAACGAATGCCATCGACACTGATATCTGCCCTCTGCTGCGCCCATAAATGGACTGTAACCCTACACTGTGCCTGCCCACCCATGGCCTCCCAGCCAGTCCACCGTGACTCACGCGGCTAATATAGCCCTGGGGAGGGCTGTCCGGCACCCAGCATCCCCCCAGGGGGCAGGATAGGGGACCAGCCAGGTTGGTGATAATGCTCTTGCTTCCCTGCTCTCTTCTCCTTGCTCCCCGTGCCCTCTGGAGAGCCCAGACGTGTGCTCTCTCTGCCCAGCTGAACCCAGCTCTTTGCCCAGAAGACCATGGCTGAGTGCCTGGGCAGAGCTTTGTAACGTATGTCTTTGCTGCCATGTGCTCCCAGGTGAGGACCCGAGGTTGTGCCTTATCCAGTTTGGAGCCCCGGTGGTATCTAGGACTGAGCTGAGCCTCCAGCTGGTCTGGACAGAGCTTCAGCTCAGGAGCCCAGCAACTGGCCCAGGGTTGTCCAGCCATAAAAATGATCATCATAAGAGCAGCAGCTGGGAACAGCCAAGCTCAGCTCTGGGCTCTTCATGCCATTATCCCCTCAGATCCTGAGAGGCTGTTGCCTCAGCCCGTGGGAAACAAGGCTCAGAGAGGTTAAGAAACTTCTCCAAGGTCACAGAGGGAGTAAACCCAGGCCACGCTGGGGACTCATGCTGGATAATGGGCTCCTAGTGGCTGCAGGCGCCTTACAATGTCTGGCGGGGCGGTCGGGGGACCTGCCTGCACCCTCAGCACAGGATCTGAAAGTAGGTCTGGGTCAGGTCCACACCCTCCAGACCCTCTAGGGGCCCAGCGATTATTCCTGGCTCTCCTGTCTCATTTGTGCTCTGGAAAACTTGACAGCAGCATGGAAAGCTCCAGCTGCCAGTGTCGCATGCCAGGCCCTGGTGCCCTTTGCGCAGGAATGGCAGGGGGCAGGGAGGAGGGGAGAAGATGCCATTTGCTCAGCTGCTGGGACTTGGGGCCAGAGGGGGCAGGGAGGGGGGAGTGTGTGCGATGTGTTCAGCTGGTAAACCAGAGACAGAGTGTTCTGGGTGGGGGCCTCTCGGGACTCTTGCCAGTGTGGGCCCAGATACCTTCAGAAGCCCTTCTCTAGAAGAGACCTAAGGCCTCGTGTGGTCAGGAGACAGATTAGGGCCCACTGCAGCTCCAGGCAGGAAAAACTGAGGCTCGAGGAAGGTGACGGGCTGGTATCTCTCTGGTTCTTCCAGAGGGCTCTGGCCTGAGCTGGGCCCTGAGCACTCTGTGCAGGCCTGGGTGTGAATTGCCAGCACCCCACCTCATGCTCTAGGTCTGGCATGTACAGTGCGCATGGTAGAAGGAGTCCCCACATCACAGGGGCATTTGGTAATTTGCCCAAGGTCACAAAAATATCAAGTGGGAGAAGCCAGGGAGGGATCTGTGTTGTTTCCCCCACTTTACCACCTCCTCTGCCCATATCATGCAACCCAGCCAGCAGCTCATGGCCAGCGCCTTGACCCTCCCCTCCCCCATACTATCTTCTGCCCCTCCCCTAGGCTCTATCCCATCCATCGCTGACTCCAGCCTTATCCCCTTTCCTAGCCAGGTCTGTCTTGCCAGGCTGGGGAGGACCCAGCAGCAGGGCATATCAGCAGGGCCTGACCAGTGTGGGGAAAGGAAGGAGGCAACCCTGCACAGGGAGGGGAAGCCCCGGGCTAGGCTGTACCTTGAGCTGCAGGCTCTTTCTCTGGACTGGGGCACCCGCCTGATGCCTGCTGCTGCCTCTGGGGAAAGGGAGGGGCAGTGGGAAGGATGCTCTTAAAGGGGAAGGCCATCCTCCCTCCATCTGCCTCCCTTGGGACACCCAAAGCTAGCCAGAGAGCAGCTGGTACCCAGAGGCTGGGCGGAAGCTGCTTCCTGACAACAGCAGCTCACCGGGGAGTTGGGGGGTGGTGGGGGCAGGCCTGGTCTTTGTCCCTCCTCCACTCTGTCCCCTGCAGTTTGAGATGGGGGCTTCAGGAGTGAGAGTCATAAGGTGCGGGACAGAGGGAGGGGAGGAAGAGAGGCTACTGTGAGCATCAGAGGCCAGGTGCCAGGTCTTTCTCCCATCACAGCACCAATAAGTAGAGACCATGCTTGTCCGAGAATACCTTCTTTGTTTTTTATTTTCCTATACCTCGTCAGAGACACATAGCACTGGGATGAACTTAGACCACTGATTTGAAACAAACCACAGGTGCAGTTTGTGCTTGGTGTGCATGCAAATATGTACATATAGGAGAGTGTGCCCGAAAATGCATGTGTGCACAAGAGCGTGGGCCACGGCGGAAAAGGTACGCTGCAGGAGAAGCTAGAGGTAACACTTTCCAGCACATGAAGGTCTGTGCTCGTCTTCAACTGCTGGCTGTGGCAGATGCAGTGCTGGCCTTCCCGTGCCAGTGACATGCCCAGGCCGGGTGCAGAGGCATCTCATAAATAACTGACGTGTCCCACGGAGCCATCACCATTGTCATCGCCTGGACAATCACAGCACACAGCCTTGGAGGAGAGGTGGGAGAACTCCAGGAAGCGGGAGGGCCTGGGACCCCACTCTTCAGGCTGGGCCTGGGGTGCAGGCTGCTGAGATGAGAAGTGGGCTCAGACCACTTAGCAGGGTAGGAGTTTTGTGGTATGGGGCCATGAATCCAGCACAGCATGGGTGACAAAGTCCACTTCCAAAGCCCGCAGGCTCACAGGGTGATCCTGGGTCTGTGAGTATGAGGGAGACATGAGGCAGCTGGACATGTCCCAGAAGAAAGGGGGAGCCAATGGTCGCCCTACATCCTGGGGTCCAAGCTGGGGAGCAGCCCCTTGGTCTGAAAACAAACAGCACACACACATCTGTTTAACCCAAGGATGTCCCACTGGGAACAGTCTCCCAATGACCATCTGTGCTTAGGGTCACCAAATGGTGAAGGGAGGGGGCATGGAGGGGCCAGGTTGTGGCCTGGCTGGGGGATGGACCGTCCACCAGACCACATGCAATGTGACCTGGAGGATGGAGCTGGCAATATCTAAGGCCGCCTGCAGGACGTCCCCCTAGGATGTCCCCCAGGCTCTCGGACTCCAGCCTGAGCTCTCCTCACCCACACCATCCAATTCTTCCCTTCCCTCCATTCCTCATCCGCATGAATAGGCTCTGGCACCTCCTCTCTCCCTGCAGCCTTGAACGCCTCACTCCTTGTCTGTCCTACAGCACTAGCTCCTCCGGTCTCCTCCTGACAGCGCATTCCGCTCAGCTTGTCCTTCCCCAGCCCCTGTAGAGGGGCCCAGCCACCCTGCAAAGCTGACCAAGCCTACCCCAGTGCCCCCGCTAAGTCCTCCCAGGGCTCTCTGTCCCCAGGGTCACGCCTGGAGGCCCCTCAGGCCAGCACCTGACGGGGCCTCCCCGCGGCTCCTACCACCTCCTGTCCCTCTTCCCTTCCACATCCCCACTGCCAGCTCCCAGGGTCCGTTGGCTGCTCCTGGGGTCACAGGGCGACATTGTGTTCCAGGACATGCCGAGCTCCCCTGTGGCCCACTGCATTCACATGAGCGGTTTCTTTAGTCTGAACCTCTAATCCACCCCCACCAGCCTGCATGGCAATCCCTGCTTCACCTCTGCCTTACCTAGGGAGCCCTCGGGGACTTGCCTCTGCTTTCAGCACCCCGTGTGCTGACACCTCAATGGCAGTGCTTATCATACGTGTTAGGTGACTGCCGATGTGCTGTCCCTCTCTGCCCAGCGCCCCACCCCAGCCCGGTATTCCCTCCAGGACAGGCTCTGTGCCTTTCATCATTCCCTCACCGGCCTGGGGGGCACTGCCTGCTGGGCTGGCCTCCGTGGCCATGCACAGTGCCCGGGCCCAGGGCTGGGCACTGAGTCCTCCCTAGGGCTGGAGCATCAGGGGAGGGTGCTCCCTGGGATGGGAACGCTGGGGGAGGGAGAGCCTCTACAACTGTAGGGAGCAGCCCAGGGCTCGCCTTCTCTGGGACACGCAGTGAGCAGCCTTGGGGAAGGAAGGCAGAAAGCTGCCTTTGGTCCTGGGCTTGCTGGGGAAGCCCGAGAGAGGCCCGGAGCTGTTGTGTGGGTGTGAGCGGAGGGCAGGGTGGGGAGCTGTCAGCCAAGGAGGAAGGACAGCCTCAGGTCCTGCGCACATGGCATTTCCAGCGTTCCAGAATATGGCCTTCTCTAATCGCCATCGACATTCCGTTCCATAGGCACTTGGGCTGACAGCTGGCCTTCTTTTAATAGCCACAAGTATTCTGGGTGACATCCTAATCTCAGGGCATTCAGAGCGAGCACATACACAACTTGCAACACCCCCCCAGGTATGCTCAGCCTCCAATCGCACAGAGAGGTACACACCACTTGCACTTGGTCACACGCACAGCTCAGGGCAGACATTCTGCGGCACACTCAATCCCATGCCCTGTGGTGTCACAGTGACGGAAAGCATGTGCCGGCATGAGTCACACTCCACCGGCTGCGCGTCACATACCCTCATGGTCACACACACTTACACACAGGCAGTACATTCATCAGGGTGTGGTATAGCCACCACCACCTGCTGTGTTAGTGCATCGTCAGGGTCAGACACTCAGGTGCAATCACAGACCACACTGGGGCCTGCTTGGAGCATCTTGGAGTCACAGAGTCCCCCCAAGCCCCCGAGGGCAGCAAGGGAAAGCTGGGAGGTGCAGGGAGGGCATTGGCGGTGATTCCCAGAGGGCATTGCGTCTGCCCGTGAGAACAAGCCTCTCTTACCTGGCCACTCCCGGGGCTACATGCCCCCTGTCCCCACCCTTTACAGATTGACAGGTGCCGGGCCCAATCACCTTCTGGGGAGCCTCTGCTTCCCATCCCTGGGACCTGGGAGGAGCCTTGGCTTCCATATCCTCCAGGCCTTGACCACAGGGGGGCCATCCACTCATTTGCTGGGCAGCCGCCCACACAGCTGCTGCCTCCGTGTCCATCCAGCCCTGGGGGAGGTGGGAGAGTCACTGTGAGGTAAGAGGGACACTCTGCAGTCTTGGTCCTGCCCCCTCCCCGACCAGGCCTTTCTCTCTCCTCCCCACAGATATTCACTGGGGTGAGGCCCACGACGCTGTATGCAGGATTGTTCGTCAGCAAATCCCTGCGAACTGTGAGTGCATGTGCTAGGGCGTGTGTGTGTGCTCATGCGCCTTCTTAGGCTTGTGGGATGGTGTGACTTCAAGAGGATCTAGGCCTTGTCAACAGGTAAGATTCACTCCTGCAGTCGTTCACTGCAGTGGTTCAGGGAAGGGACAGCTCCTCCTCAGCGCCTCAACTGAGACCCCCAGGGATGCGGGCAGTGGGAGAAGGTCAGTGGAGGCTCTTGGTGAGGCCCACAGTGGGCCCTGTAGACACAACGATGGAGGAGCCTGAGTGTGGCTGGGGACAGGAGCCCACGGTGCAGGGAGCTGTCCTGGGGACATCAGGGGCCATCGCAGCTCCAGGCCCCAAGGCAGGGCTGGCAGGCTGGTAGCTCCCAGGGCCAACAACAACTGCGGGGTTAGCACCTACCCATGGGCACCCTAGCCAGTCTTGGACGTAGAGACAACAGTTTTCCCTTTCAGAGGAGGACACAGAGGCTCAGAGAGGGTGAGTGACCTGCCCAAGCTCACACAGTGAGGACGTGGTAGAGCTGAGGCTTGAATCCAGGTCCCTGGGCTCCAGGGCCAGTGCTCTTTCTACTGTATCTTGTGGGATCTTCAAGGTTCCCAGAAGGAGGGGACTTAATGCTGAGAACAAAGGGCCCTAAGCTAGCTCCTGCCTCTCTCTCCAGAGGCCCATCGAGGGCCAAAAATCCTAGTCTTTTCAATCTGTGGCTCTAAGCCTCTGTGATAGTGCCAGCATGGAAAAGAGATGGCCTGGAGTTGGAGGACCCCTGTTCAGTCCTGGCCCTGCTGCTGGGTGACCTTAGGCCAACCCATCGCCTCTCTGGCCCCAGTGCCCCTGCCTATTGAGAGGATGATGCATGGGAAGGCCATGCAGAGGTTGTGAGGAGCTCTTGCTGCCAGTGTCCCAGGGTCCTGAGGGTCCCTGAGTCTCAGAGGCAGCCCTGCCCAGAGGCCAGAGGCTGGCCTGGTTGAGGAAAGGATGGCGAGGTGCGAGCCAGGGAGGGCCCAGCATCCTTACCACTTCGCTCTCAGAGCCTAGGGACGCTTGGCGCCTCCGTCCAGAGATCCAGCTGAGGTCCGAGCCCTGGCTGCTCAGTGTGGAGCGGTGGGTGGAGCGGTAGCTGGTGTACGGGCGAGTGCGCTGGTCCGACACGCCCAGCAGCACCCCCAGGCAGGGCAGGTGCTGGGCGATGGCCATTCTGCAGGGACAGCACATCTGGTTAGGGGGATGGACAGACAGACATGAGGTGGATGGGGATGGATGGACAGACCAGTACATGACTAATGGGGGTGGACAGAGAGCCACAGGGGAAACAGGGAGGTTCAGACATTGGGGTTATAAGGAGAGACAGACAGACGATGGGGTGATGGGAATGGACAGAAAGACACTGGGAATCACAGGAAGTGATGAGGAAGGACAGACAGATGCTGGGGTGAAGGAGACTGACAGGCTCACAGGGATGGGGATGAACAGACAGATGATGGGGCTGTGGACATGGAGAAAGGCACTTAGGGTAGCAGGTTCAGCCAGGCGGTCGGTTCTAGCCCTCAAGTGGCTGGCCCAAGTCACATCTCTGCAAATGGGACCTGGGACACTCCTGGGCAGCCTCTGAGCTGGGTGGGCTGAGGCCTGAAGCTGCCTCAGCAGGGCGGTGAGTGACTGACACCACCAGGCAAAAGGAAGCACTGAAGTTCCTCGCGTGCGGGAGGCCATCCATGCTGGGATCCTACCAGCAGAGAGCACTGGGCCAGAGCCACCGCCAGGCCTTGGCCAGGGCCTTTGAAGTGGAGCCACCGAGCTTTCCCTGCTGTGGACTCTCCAGGATGTCGCTGTCTCGGGGGCTTCTCTTTGCAGGGGGCAGCACTGCGGATTTTGGGCCTCGCCTCCAAAAATCCCATAGTTAGGGTAGGACACTGCCCAGAGAGCCCTGATATCCCTCCAATTGAGCCCCCTGGGAATCTGGGGCACCAGAGGGGGTTGTACCAGCTCTAGACTCCACCCAGTATCACTGACTGCTCTCAGCTTCTTAGAGGCCCCCACCCAATGCATAGACAAGAGACAGGAAAGATGGCCAGCCTCCTCCTCTGTTCGCAGGCTCAGGCCTCTATGCCCATGAGGGTGGGCCTGGGGGCCTGGGGCTGGGGCCTGGGGGCCTGGGCCTGGGGCCTGGAGGAGGGCCGCACCTATACTTGGGGTGGATGATGGCATAAATGATGGGGTTGTGGATGGCAGAGGCCTTGGCGATGACAGCTGGCACCGAGTTCATGTAGGGTGTCAGCACATGCGCGTACCTAGGACAGAGAAGCTGTGGTCCCCCTGCCAGCTGCCCCCCCCCCCAAAGACTCCACAGCCCACCCACCCTCTCAGGAACCTTCTTCCTCTAGACCAAACCCTGCTGAGAGTATGGCCCAGCCTGGCCCAGCCCGGCCCAGCCCAAACCAACACAGCCAAGTCAGTCCCGTGGGAGGGACTGCAATGCCAGGGAGAATTCTGATCTGAGGTGAGTAGGAGCCTGGGCAGCAGGGAGGGGCTGGGAAGAAGATGTGCCAGGTTAGGGGGTTTCGCCAGGTCTCACTGTCCCTTGGAGCCTGTGCTGCAAACAATAAACCCTCCCCACCCCTAATGACCCTGGCCCTCTGCCCAGCTCTTCCCATACCCCACCCCAACCCCGATGCCCACTGCTCCCCCGCTTCCCTTAGAGTAACTTCACAGGAGGGCCTGAGAGGGGACCAGGCTGTTTCTGTACAAGGAGAAGTACCCAAACACTTCCCAGGATTAATAGCTCTCACTGTCTCAAAAGTGCTTCTAAAGTCTAGCCTACGTCCATGTTGCTGCAGATGTCCAAGTCCCCACACTGTAGCCACAAAGGACTAGAGGGCAGGAGGGGAGCAGCACCCCTGGCTGGGTGCCCACAGGCCAGGTGAAGAGGGAGCCAGAACCTCCAGGAGAGCCGTGAGTTCCCAAGAGGTCCAGCAGGGCCTGGCTGCCCCCGCAGAACCTCAGGCCAAACCCAGTGTGGTCCAGAGGTCTCCCGCATCTGTCCTCCAGGAACTAGGCAGGACTGGCTGGGATGGGGCACCGCACACCAGTGGGGAGCACAAGGCTGTGCAGCTGGACTTGGGGTGTGAGGACTGCTAGTTTGGACTTGGGCTAGGGAGGGAGAGGCTGTCCCAGGGTTCCCTCCCCCGCCCTTTTAACCCCTGCCCTAGCCCCTTAGCCACTGCCCACCCAGCAAAGGCCATCAGGGCCACCACGGAGTAGGGCGCCCAGGAGAGCACGAAGAGAAGGATGACCAGCAGCACGATCTTGGCCATCTTCCACTCGCTCTGCAGCCGCTGCCGCTGCCGCGGGCACTCACCACCGCCCTCGCAGGCCTGGAAAGTCTGGAGAGCCCTGGGAAGGGCGGAGAGTCTGGGTCTGACCCCACTGGGGTTGCAGTGAGTGCCAGGGTCATGGCCACAGTCGGGGATCCTCCCTGAACCACCCCTGGGGGCACTCGGGAGGGGACCATCCCTTCCAGTGCAGGCAGCCCTGAATCCCAGCAAGTTCTCCATTACACCCAACCTGAGCTGCTTCCTGTGGGTCTACCTGTGGTGTCTTCTCTGCCCCGCAGGCCCCCTGACCAAGCTAAAGGCCTCCTCCTCAGAAGACTCTGGGATCTAGGCACCCACCCCATAAGCATGTGCTCAGCTTGTCTTTGCTCATCTGGAGCGGGGAGGGCCCAGGGGGCGTGGGTGCCTTGGGGTGGGACAGAGGTGGCCCTGGTGAAGGGGCGCAGCCCCCTCCCATCAGCCCCTCCTCCATGCCCAGCTCTTACTGGCCTGTCTCCCGGATGGCCCTGAAGATGAAGACGTAGCAGTAGACGATGACAAGCAGAGGGAGGAAGAACACGAAGCAGATGAGCAGCATGGTGTAGGCGCGGACCGACGGCGTGAAGCTCATGTAGTCCCAGGAGCAGGAGGTCAGCAGCCCCTCTGGCACATAGGCACCTGGGATCCAGGGGCAGGCACTCAGCCTTGCGGCTTTGGATGTGGGGTCTGGGGTCCTGGAACACTGGCCCCAGGCCCAGCCCTGCCCAGTGCAGTGAGGAAGCCGGGGCACGTGGAGGGGAGTTTTCCAAGTTGGTTCTGGCAGGGACACCAGCTCAGGAGACAGCTGCCAAAGCCCACTGGTGCTCATTCTTGCCGGTTTGGAGCAGAGACCTCACCAGAGCCCCAGGGTCCTACTGCCCTGGGCTTCAGCCAGCTTCCTGGTCCTGCCCCAGAAGGGCGGGTGCCTTGCTGCTGACCCTCCTACCTGCTGAAGCCTCACACCCCAACCCCTGCCCATCTGACTTGCTGCAAACTCAGCACCTGTCAAACTAGATGCACCTGTCGCTTCCTGCCACCAAGGAAGCATGCAGTCTTCCCCACTGTATTTAGGGATAGGAGCCCAGGTCATCCTCTGATCACTGATGGTGCAACCTCAGTTTCCCCTGCTGCTCATCATGCCCCCTGAATGTTCATCTGCCTTGAGGCTCAGGCAGTCCCTTGGCTCTTCCTGCCAGCCGATCAACCCAAGTCCACCTACCTGCCCCTTGAACGTGCCCCTCCCAGCTTATCTCCCCCCACCCCAATTCTCCCAGCCCACTTACTCCAGCCAAAGAAGGGTGGCAAACTCCAGGCCAGGGCGTAGAGCCAGACGCCCAGCAGGACAAGCGCTGCCCACCTCTTGGACACCACCCCAATGGTGGCCAGTGGGCGTGTGATCACCAGGTAGCGGTCCAGGGCGATGGCCGTCAGGGTAATCATGGAGGTGATGCCGAAGAGAGCCCCACAGAAGGCATAGAATTCGCAGCCTGTGGGCACAGCTCCCTGACCTCAGCCCTTGGCAGGGAGCCCATCAAGTTCCCGAGGGGAAGGTGCGTCTGGGGATGGCGTGTACTTGGCTCCTGCCCCCACCTCTCAAGAAAAGCAGCCCTGGGCTGGCCCCATGGCTTAGCGGTTAAGTGCATGTGCTCCACTACTGGCGGCCCGGGTTTGGATCCTGGGTGCGCACCGATGCACTGCTTCTCCGGCCATGCTGAGGCCACGTCCCACATACAGCAACTAGAAGGATGTGCAGCTATGACATACAACTATCTACTGGGGCTTTGGGGGGAAAAATAAATAAATAAAAATTAAAAAAAAAAAAAAAAAAAAAAGCAGCCCTGAGTCCCTCTCCATCTTGCCTACTTGCCACATCTGGCAGAGGCTGGCAGAGGCTTCAGGATGGGAACCGGAGTCTTCCCTCCTGCTTACTCATGGGATTAAGGGTGGCTACCCACTCTCTGCCCAGGAAGAGCAAATCACCTCCTCGTTGGGGCCCCCTCCACTGTGGGTATCCGCTGTCACAACCCTCCTCCACCCTCCAGCAAAAGGGAGCCCCAAGTGTCTACCTGCCTTCCCAAAGAGCCACTGCTTATAGAGGCTGCTGGCGAAGAAGACAGGAGCCTGGGTGAAGGACATGAGGAAGTCGCTGATCGCGAGGTTGATAATGAACATGTTGGCAGGTGTCCTGAGGCCTCTGCTCCTGTGGGCGGGGGAAGCTGTCAGGAGGTGCTTCTGCTGGAGAGATTTCCTCAACTACCTGTACGCGCGCACACACACACACACACACACACACACGCACACACACACACATGAGCGAACACATGCCCATGCACACACACATGCACGCGTGTGCACGCACGCAAGCACAAGCTGCTGGCCCACAGACCCACCCCGCTGCCCGGCAAGTACCAGCCAAACAGCTCTGGAGCCTGGCAGTGTGGGCTGAGAAGTGAGACCCTCAGGGCGGCAACTCTTGCTTTGTGTTCTGGGGGCAGTTCCCTCAGAACGAGGCGGAGAGCAATACCTCTCCCAGGGTTGCTGTGTGGCCCCGCAGAAGCTGGTTTTCAGATGCATCTGAAATTCCCTCTTCTCGCCCTCTGGATTCCCTCTC